ACAAATGAAGACTTACAAGAGTTAGATTTATCATCCCAGTTATTGTCTACTTCATCCCTTAACTTTAAAGCTTTAAAACATGATTCAAATTTAGCTGAAAAGTTAACGTTTCTGTTGAAACATCCTATTCAACCCCAATATGCAGAGNTGAAACATCCTATTCAACCCCAATATGCAGAGTTGCCTTTTAATCCATATAAAGTGTATTACCGCCAGTTGTCTGATACTGATAAAACACGAGTGCCAAGACAGTGGTTATCATTTAATAAAGAAGAAGAAAATGTGTATTGTTCAGTTTGCATGGCTTTTTCATATATTAAGGATTCATTATTTGTACAAGGTATGAAAACATTAACTAAGCACATTTACAAGAAAGTTCAAGTGCATGTAAACTCTAAAGTACACAATGAAACCGTGTACGCATATATGTAGGCAAAAAAATCTAATGATATATCAGCACTTATAAACGTAAACCAACGAAACTTTTTTAGTACAAGTTTCAGAACGAAGGCTTTTCTTATCAAGAATAATTGAAGGTATTCTTTATATTGGCAGATAAAGTATCGCTTATAGATCACATAAAGGAGAACAAGCCTATTCATTAGACGATAAAAGTATAAATCATGAGAATTTTCTCGAATTACTAAGAACTTGGTTAAAATTTGATCCGCTTCTTGAAAAACATTTAGAATATGTTATAAAAAAAAGTAAAAATCATAATTTAGTGACACCCTGTAGAGAACGAGGTTCGCTTGTAACATTTATTTCTAAGACTACGATCAATAAAATTATAACTTTAATAACTAATTTTATTCAACTTGAAATAGGAAAAGAAGCACGAGAAGTTAAGTGTTTTAGTCTTCTAGTAGATTCATCGCAAGACGTTAGTGTAACAGACCAATTAGCCATTTGCATTCGTTATGTAGTTAAATGTGAAATTAAAGAACGCTTGATTAAATTTTTACCTGTAGATTCTTCAGAAGCAACCGATTTATATACTACTATTAAAAATGGTCTTGAACATGTTGGTTTAACTTTGAACAATATAGTCAGTCAGGCTTATGATGGAGCAGCTAATTTCAATGGAATCCATCGTGGTTTACAGGCTCTAATAAAAAAAGATGCTCCAAACTCCATACACACTCATTGTTTTAGTCATATATTAAATCTCACACTAACTCAAGCAGCTAGTTCATGTCCTGAAGCAGTGAATTTGTTTTTGTTGCTAGACCGTTTAGCAATGTTTTTTGGTCAGTCTTATAAGCGGATGGCAAAATGGAAAAGAACTGTGGTTGAAAATCACGTTGGGTCTGACAAAATGCTTCGCTTACAAAAGATTGGACAAACCCGTTGGTGGAGCAAAGATGTTGCGTTAAACCACGTATTTGACCCAATAAATACGCCTAATGAAGAAAAAAATAGATTTTTAACGGTTATCAAAGCTTTGTTAACCGTGGCAAATTCTAATGATTTTGACTCAGTCATAAAACTAGAAGCTCAAAGTATAGCTAACAAGATGTTAAAATATGAAACAATACTAACGGCATTTGTTTTTCAGTCATTATTTTCCCTAAGTTCTTCAGCATCAGCATGTCTTCAATCAAAAAGATTAAATTATACATTGGCTTTTTTATTACTAAATAATTTGAAAACCAAATTAATAGAAGGAGTTAATAATTTTCAACCAGTTTTTGAAAAAGCAACACAATTTGCCCAATATTTCCAATCCATACTGGAAAACATAGATGGTACCGAAAACACAACATGGTCTTGTGAATTAATAAAAAACAGAATTCGACAAAAAAAAAAATGCCAGGTCAATTAGTTACCGATGAAAGAACAAAAGATGAAAAAAAAAGGTTTGAAGTCGAAGTGTACAAAACAGTTTTCAACAATGCGTTTGGAACATTAAACGACAGGTAAAATGTTATTTTAAAAGCTAAGTAATTAATTAGTTATAAATGTTTTAAATTTATTTGCATTTTTTTATCAAACTATTAAGAAATTTTTCTGTTATTTTTAGGTATATGAACAACCGATGTATAATTCAAGATGCTTCGTTTTTAGACCCTAGAATTTATCAAATGAAAAAGCCAGAATTCATGTTCCCTGAAAAATCTATGGCAAATATTGCAAATTTGGCTCGAGTTGACGTTGTGGTGGTGCAACGTCAATTGATTGAATTTGCTCAGAATTATGATGCAATTACCCATGTGTGTCTGATAAGTAATAGCCAGTATAGTACATTCGAAGATGAAATTAGTGACAATGAAGAAGATTCAGAAAAAGAGCTAAAATGTGCGGTGAATAAGTTGAAATGTAAGTCATGCATTTCATGTGCATTCGAGTTTTTGTATTCACTAGTTATTCACACAACTGATTATAACGAGTTATACACTACTTATAAGCTGGTAACCACTTTAGCGTTTACACAAGTAACTTGCGAATAAAGCTTCTCAATCCTTAAAAAAATTAAAAATCGATTAAGATCATCTCTGTCTGACGAAAAATTAGAAGCATTTATGTTAATGTCGTTTGAACGTGATATGGAAGTACCATATAACATTATTATCGATCAATTGGCTGCCAATTCAACAGAAATGAAGAGGCTTCTAATCGGATAAGCTGTTAAAATAGTCATTTTTTTTTTTTTAATAGTACTCGGAAGTAAAAATACTCTTTAATAGTTATTAATTTTAAGTTTTTATAAATTGATAAAAATAAAATTTACTTATAAAGTTATAAAGTATTGTGAACACATTTTAAGTTCAATAAATAGATATTTACAAATTTTTATATTTTTTTTCTTCAGATAACACTATTATTTTTAGCAGAATATTTATAACTTAAGATAGAAGATGTATAAATAAATAAGAAAAAATACTTGGCCTGGGGGCCAAGGCCCCTAAAAGCTGCCATTAATTATGGCCTCATTGAATCAAAAAATTGCCGACTGGCCTCACACATAGCCAGTACGCCCCTGGAGCGTTCTATTATTAAATATTAATATACCGCTCGCCCTAACAATATTAAAAATATAATGACATGTGACAAAATAGCAACACATAAGTAATAAATATGAAATGTAAATAGAATCAAATATAAAATTAGTTATTCTTTAATAGTACGTTTACATTTCTAAAGAAAAGAGTAATATTTTAAAATAAGATATGGTTTGCATGGGTCTAGATATTTAAGATCACTAGAAACATATGCAGATACTAGTAAATTCATGACATTATCTTAATATATTATAATATTATTATAATATATTATTAATATAATATTANTTAATAAATATTTATTTATATCGTTGTTAACCTAAAGTGTTATATATATATATTGTAGTGCGACCCTTGGTAGTTCCTCTAAGGGAATATAAATTAAATAGGAAACTTCAGTACCTAAGGTAGATATAGCCTAGCCAGCTATCCCCCGTTGGTCCCTTAGAATACTGTCGACGGGCATTTAGGCTAAACCCCTAAATAGCGACGTAACAATTGGTGGAGGCGCCGGGTATACGTAAAAATCCTGTTAGTATTGTTGTATGTCACTGTGTTAATTATATATATATGTCTATTAAACGGTACAACGATGTTATGGGAGACAGTGATATGGGCACATGCAAATGTGATCGTATCACATGTTTCAAAGAAAAGAGTGAAATTTTAGAAAAGGATATATTGTAAATGGGTCTAGATATTTAGGATCTTTAGAATTCCAAGAAACCAACATATAATTAATATTATCTAAATAACTTATTTTATTATTCAAATGAACTTCTTATTCGCATCCGACTGAATGTTAGTAATTAATTGCTTACCTGATGGTGAGAAATTAGCACCAGTATTTAAACCTAAACACAGTAGATAAGTTTTTTTTATTTAAAGTTATATATATTAAATACATTCAGAATAATAGTTAAAATGATTTATCCTTTGTCAGTACATTCTTGATACAAAAGAAAAGAGTGATATTTTAAAATAAGATATGGTTTGCATGGGTCTAGATATTTAAGATCACTAGAAACATATGCAGATACTAGTAAATTCATGACATTATCTTAATATATTATAATATTATTATAATATATTATTAATATAATATTATTCAATTAAACTTTGTAGTCTTATCTAACTGAATGTAAGTTATTCTTTACTTACGTAATTGATCGTTAGCATCAAATCTTATACCTAAACAGAGTAGATTAATTTTATATATTTAAACTGTATTATAGTACAAAACAAAATTAAAGTAAATAATAGTTAATTAGCACTTAATAATTTAGATTTTAAAAGACTTATGTAATTGCAACACTAAAGTGTTAAATACGAAATGTATTTAGAATAAAAGTTAAAATCATTTTGATAGTACATTCATGTTTCAAAGAAAAGAGTGAAATTTTAGAAAAGGATATATTGTAAATGGGTCTAGATATTTAGGATCTTT